CGGTTATATGCAGCACGAGAATATAGCCAGAGAAAGAAATCCGTCTTTTCGCGCTTGCACTTCGTGCGTAATATATTTACGCGGGTATACAGTTACCGCAGTGGGTAGCTCGAATAATGGGTATACTTTTACTCCTCGATTAAAGTCAACCCATTTTTCCTCTTTTTTTTTTGTATACGATCTATAAAAAGGGTATATAGGTTGCGAATAAATTGAAAAAAAATTCATTAATTGAGTTATATGCGCACGCCTGGGCATTATAGGATATTATATTGACAAGCTCGCGGATCTCCCGTTGTATATACCGGGAGAGAAGAGCACACGACGGAATTTTGCGCTGCTGCTTGCGGCGCGGTGTGCAGCTTTATAATATACACGTATTATTGTATACGTTATATTATGCGCCGCGATAACGGCAATCGCAATTAACGGCCGGTACGCTTCACGCGCGTAATTTTTATATATTTATATAGAGGAGTCGTGGTCCATCGATTAAAAAGTTTTTCGCCGAAAGAATAAAATCGTACTTTTCTTCAATTAACACACATACGGCCGCCCTTTTACGATCCTCGTGCGCGATATACCCGCGCGCGCGAGTAAATATGCCATCGCAGACGCGAAAGTGCATTATACACAGTCGAGGAGAACTAGAACGGGAGGATCATCGCGATATTTTATATTATATGTTGTATATGTTGTACGGACCAGACCACCCAGAAGTGGGCCAATTTGCACATCATGCCCGCGTGTATAGGTCGAAGTGCCAAATCTGCAGAGATCATCGTGTTATGATGATAATTATCGCGATATGCGTTGCAAGCTGCATTCGCGCCGATCGAGACGATATCTCTCTCTCTTTCTTGCTTTCTCTCTCTCTCGCCTCTCTTTCACTTGTTTATCAGATCGTCGATGTTTGTTGCGTTCTCCTTTCTTACGCTATATACATCATGATACACTCAACACGCGATAATTGTTGCGTCTGATCGTCTCTCGCGTGGGTCAATAATTGCGCGATCGACGATTTACGAGTTGTTTTGGCGCGCGACGGTCCGCGTGGGCCTAGAAAAACAAGAGAGTTCGTTGCTGCCGATATGTTTATCCGCGGCGCACATATTTATGTATACATACATCAAGCTCGTCGGGCTTTCCAAAACACACGTATAAATAACAAAAGTGCGTCTGCGCTACCGAGTATATATTATTGACATTAAAAAAATGAATTATTGCGGCTACCGTTGCTGATTTTATACATTTAGATTTTTCGACGCACGCGCAAGGAGCTTTATGTATTATTGTACGTCGCGTGTTCCGTTCGGGCGCGAATAAGTTTCGACTTTATTATACTGTCACCGACTGCATTTTTATTATTTTTTTTTTTCTTTTTTAGCGAACTCTCGTGCAATTTGAGAAATGCATCCGCATCGCACGCGCTGACTTTTGCGCGCTCGGATTGTGCTATAAATATATAATATAAAATATCGTGTCGCAAGAAAACGAAACTCGCGTCTTTCGTTGACGCTTTTTTTCTGTCTTTCTTCCGACGCACGCATAATGTACGTCACGCCGACGCGTAATGCATGCGCGTCTCGTCCGGACGTGTATACATTACAATGTATAACACGCCGATTGTCTCGCACTTTCTAATCGCGCCGTTGTCACCCATGAGTGTCATTTATATAAATTTATATCGGTCAATTTTTTAGTTTTATAAAAAATATGCGCGACCACATTATGCGAGTTTCTTCCAAAACCCGGAATATGGAAAAATCGCGTGTAAATGGACGAAAAATGTCGCGTGAAATGTTGTAAATAGAGGAAAAAGTTTCGTCATTCTGAGCATTAATCTGATCCGATAAAAAAGGCATCGAGGAAATTTTTTCTCTTTCACTTTGAAAACGAAAAGCTCATACTTGCAACTTGAATCACCTTTTTGTAGTCAGCAAGAGATGAACTAAACGAACGATTACAGGCAAAAAATTGAAAAGAAAAAAATTCATGAAATTCGTCAAAGATTTTCATACGGGTTACTCATAAAAGCGATGTATATTTTTCCGAGAATTTTCAAAAATTAGGCCACGCACGTTTTTGAAAAAACTCGACTGTATTTATACCAATCTCGATTTCGGATATGTGTGTGGTAGACCTCGGGCGTGAGTGTCGAATAAATCGCGCCCCGATAGGTATACACACATTTAAATTTGACAAATGGATTCGTGTGTACATTTTCATGTACTCGTCTCGAGTAAAACGAGTAAAATCTTGCGTTGTTCGGCGGTTTTTTTTTCGGTCGGATATAGTGTGTGCCTGTCGATATCATGTATTATGGAAAAATCATAAATTTGACGCGCTTCGGTGTCGATGATGGTACATTTATATGTGTCGCGGCAGCAGCATGAATATACACACAAACACACATACTACAGCAGTTCATACATTATAAGGCCGTGTATATAATACGACATGGCTCTTAACCCACTTTCAAATTAAAATCTACCGCTGGCCTCGCCATGCTTAACGCGCGCCAGGTACACACATGTGTGTCTGTGTGTGTTTGTGGTGTATACAATTACAACGCTAAGAAAGAGAGAAAAAGAGAAAAAATGATATCTTACACGACTGATCGTGAATTAAGTTAAAGTAAAAGAAAAAAGAATGAAAAAGAGTTTAAAAATCTTCCAAATTTACAAACTCGTTTTTCCTTCGATCCGTGTGTGCTGTTGCATACATACGTTATAATGCACGCGGGCCGATTCCTATTTGGCTCACTCGTATACAACGCGCTCGGTTGTTTATAATTCGCTCTCTTTTACATACTCGTCGCGTAAATTATAATTCGCGTCCTCTGCTTCTCGGGCGCGCACTTTTCATCGATGCTCGCGAGCCCGTGAAATAAATAATATAATCCGCGCGGTGATAATGTAAAGCTCGCGGCGCACTTGTCCAAAGATCATCACACGCATACACACACTAGGCATTAGGATAATCCGATGCACGGGGCAGCTCAGAGAAAATTGCATTGTCGCGCGCTTCGGGTCGCGTAATTCGTAATTTGCGACTCTCCGCGTGTGTTAGCTTTTGCAAAGTATCGAGGATTAGTTCTCGCGCATATACCTATAATATCGCTCTGTATTACGGAGAAACTGATCCAGTGACATTTTCGAGCCTCGTGCCATTATAAATATGTAATATATATTCTCGTGCACGGGTTTTATTATACGCGTGGCCGACATACATTTTCGACGAGCGCTGTGTGCTTTTTTTCTCTTCTTTTTATACGCATCGCGACTCCGTATTATATGCCAAGCGCAATCAAAAGTTATATTCGTTTTCGCTGCTGTTGATGCTGCTGGATGGATTTCTCTCTCTTTCTTTCTCTCTTTTTCTTCCCTCTTATCTCCCTCGTACTCCTCGCGAGTGCGCAATATAAATAAGTAAGAGTGAAATTTCGCGGGCGCGCACAAAAAAATCATATAATGGCTCTCGTCAAAAAACATTAGTGGATCATCACCGCTAACACACATAAATTAGCTTTTTACAGAAGTGAAAAGTCCATCTCGTCTAAGTAGCTGCTAAACTCGTGTATAAACGCAGTTATATATAGTTAGCCGAGAAATCCGCTGTAGACGATTTTTTTATTTTGATGAATTGTATACCTGCTGTAAGAAGCAAGCGATCTATCGATGATTTTTTTTTTTTGACAGCGAGAAGACCATCGATATTTTACTCGAGTTGCGCAATGTATAAATATTTACAATTTCGCGATGCTCGTCTCGACCTAATAATAATCGACGCTGTAGCATATACGAGGAAATTTCAATATACATATGCCATACGACGAATCGCTTTCGTTTAGACGTTATCCACGCGCGAGGCATACACAAACTCATACCCCATGTTCGAGTATGTACATAATGGAAAGTTGCTATTAATTATAAGCAAGAAGTGAAATCCTCGAAATCAAACGATCGTCGTCGTCGTCGTCTCTGCTCGATAGTCCTGCCACGCGAATAATAAATGATGAGCTTTGGCATGGACAAACAGCAGACAGACAGACGGACAAACACCTGTAATACATATAATATTTGTATGTATGTAATATATAGCGCTCCTCAATGTGTCTCGTTCGCTGCCGATCATCATCGGCACAAAAACTTTTCCTGCTCCGACTATGATCATCGAACGTCGAATGCGATCGCCGCTGCTGCTGCTGCTACTTACGTTCGCGTTCCATTACGTGCATTATATACATATACACTCTCGTGACGCGATGTTCGCGCGCACACACATATGCGCACACACATACACACGAGCTGCAGTAATGGCCTTAGGCTGTCGGTCACTGACACTGTTTTCCTGAACCAATGCCGCGATCAGTCGCCGTACGCGTGCAGCCAACTTCCCATCGCGTACTCTCTCTGTGTGTTATAGCGTGTGTGTGCATGTGTGTGTATGCAGTCTCGCGGTATTATCTCGCGCGCTCGGTAGCGGAGTGCAGAGGGGGTCAGCGTACGCGAGCTTCTCTCTCTATCTATCTCGGTCTTCTCTGTGTGTGTGTGTTCACATGCGCTAGCAGCATCTTTTCTATTGAGATAATCGAGTTTGGCTCCTCGTCGTCGTGGCTGTTGTTGTTATTGTTGTCGTTGTTGTTGTTGTTGTTGTTGTTGTTTAGCCTTTCGACAGGTTATCTATGTTTTTATTCGTATGTTTTTCCTCTTGGAGAAAGACGCTCGACGTTTTTTTTTCAAGCACCATGACACAGGTATCTCTCGACGATCGCGAGCGAATCGGACCCTCGTAAATTATAATTAGGTTTTTCAGTCAAGTACGTGAGAAAGTTACGTCGAAGTGTTTTTCGAGTGCGCCACTATACTACTCGAGAGTAACCGCAACTCGAAGCTTTAGTATTACCTTTATGATTCTCGACTCCGTTTTTTTTCAAAATGCAAAAACAAAAACAAAAACGACGTATTTTTTATTATATTGTTTATCGTTTGTTGCAGATTACCAACGAGTCAGCGATCAGCAGCGCGTCTTACGCCAGCAATTCAAATGGTAAGTTATCTTTCAATATTTCTCGCAATAAAAATACACTTTGGCTTTTCCATCGCGACTTATCCGCGCGCGTACACGTCCAGATATATACAGAAAAGTTATATTGCGCGGGTAAAGCCAAAACTAGATACGCGCGTGTCTCGAGAATCCCTCGGACAAGCGCGCCGCGCGTGTACACGTCAGAGCGCCCCCCGCATGTAATATTATTTTACATGTAGACGACGTGCAGCAAGTAGTAGTAGTACTGGGACGTCGACGTTTCAAGAATTCGGGATCTCGAGAGATGGGATCTGCGCTGCGGCTACTTTTGCGGAGCCCAATGGCTATTTTCCTTTCCCTCGGACTTTTCTTTCTTTTTTTTTTTCCTTTCTTTTTTTTAAGACGGAAAACGAAATTGACAGCTGACCGGGAGAAAGAAAAAAGCCCCGCTGCACAACCGCACACCGAATGCTTGTATATACCTCGCGCGTCTTTCTCTCTGTCTCTCTCTCTCTCTCTCGCGTTCTCGTTCCCTTTCTTCTCTCGTGCGCGCGCGTAGACAAAGACAGCTCTCGCTCGCCGCCGCTGCGTCGGACTGCTGCTGCTGCTGCTGCACGCGGCAGGCTGGTATTAAATCGTTCGAAAAGGCGCTTGTGGGTCTCGCGCGCTTGAAACTCGCTCGCTCGCTTGAAAATTGCATTTCTTTTGCGCGGAGCTGTGCATCTTTTCAAACTGCAAATCGAGTTTCGCTGCTGCTGCTGCTGCTGCTGCTGCTGCCCCGGCCGAACAATGGAAAATTGAAAACTGTAATGCCGCGGCATGCGATTGCCTCGTTTGATTCGTATTAGCGCGAAGGGCGGGTATCAGGGCGTACAGAGTGTGTATAGATAAATATATAATAATGTTCTCATCGTCAGCGCGTTGACTCGCGCGAAAAATTGAAATTTTGTCAGAAAAAAAAACGTAACTGACGTGTGAAAGAAAATTAACGAGTCTCTACGCGAGATGACGTTGTCGACTTTGCACGGGAGAAAATTCAATATCCAACGAAATGCAGGTAAAAATATAACGCCTTATTATATATTACGCTGGCAACGCGCGCGCGCCTCTAATCACAAGCTCTCTCACCTGCAGTAATTTTTCCTCGCAGGAACTCGGCTCGACTCTTCTTTCGGCGCTCGCTCGTTTCTTTTCTTGGCTTTTTGCCCTTTTTAATACCTCTTTTCTCTTTTCTTCTTTTTTTTTGTTGAAGATATATTTATTGCGCTGCACTGCGCAGCTTTTACAATGTATACGTATACGCTGCCATGCGCACCGCTGCAGTTGCTGTGTATGGATTTTTTTTTCGTAATTTCGCGCGCGCGCGCGCGCTCTAAATCCTTTTTTCACCTCGACTGTCGCTTTATTATATTGTTCTCTCTTTCCCTTTCTCAGCTGCTCTCTGACGCCTCTATAAGCCGCTAAAAAATACTTGACATTAAACACTGGCAAAAGACTCGTGCGCGGCTTTTGTCCCCATTGTTTCGGTGTGGGAATGTTTGACAATTACCAGTTGTGCGCCGCGGCGCTGGCTCGCTCGCTCGGCCGTCTTTTCGGCTGTGCGCAATTTCGGAGCTTTCGAGCTTGCGAGGGCGCTTACCCTTTACCTATAACACACGCATCGCTTTCTCTCCGCAGGCCAGGGGTATAATATATTTTCGTCAAAAATTCATGGTGGCTATATGCACGGAGAAAGGGGCAGCACTCAACGGTATATACATATAGTGCCACCACCAGCACTTTGGTGTCAAAGTTCAAACGAGCTTCCTCCTGGCGAGCCACTTAACTCCCTCCTGAATTAGTAAACGAGATGCTCCTCCTTTCTTGCTGTATTATACATACCTGCAGCGGCAGCCACGCCACAGCTTCTTTTCTTTTAACCCTCGAGCGAGATAACGTATATAAAGGTGTGCGTACGGACATCCCACGAGAGCTCGTTACGATACACACACACACACGTGGACGAGAAAAAGGGAGCTTTCTTATATACCCATATATACCTGAATGTGTGTACCTGCGTCAATGCGCGGCCGCCGTCGCCACACGTATATTATACATACGTGCGCGCACACACGCGATCATTCACGATGAAAATCGTTCAATTTTTGATTATTCAGACCGATGTCGCCAGTAAATTGTGCACTCGGCGCCACCAATATATAATAAATACACTCCTGCACTGCAACACGCGCCGGCAACAGCAGCAGCAGCTCATATCGGCAATTTATACACGTGTTGTACAACACAGAGAGACCTTCGTATGCGCTGCTGCTGCTGCTCCTTTCCACCATCATCAATACGTATATACTTTTTGTTCGCCCAATGCGCGCCCGTTCGCCGTGCTCGCTCTCGCGCCTGCAGTAATCTCGATTCAACGACTGCTGCCGACGCCGTCGCCTCCCCGTGTGTGCCGCGGCGGCGGCGGCGGCGCGCGTATAATATACAAGTTTTCCCGGTGCCCGGCGCCCGACACACTCTGTTATATATACAATAACAACTTGCGCGTTGTTGTTGCTATTGCTGTTGCTGTTGTGTGTGTATTATATACAGGTACTGCAGGTATATAAGCGCGAGTGGCTGCTGCTGCTGTACTCCGATGGGGATTTTTCATAATTGAATCGTGACTCGGCTCGATATATCGTGACTCGGGCTCGTTAATAATCCGATCGATACATCTCTCTCTCTTTCTATCTCTATGTCTGTGTGAAATGGCGTTCTTCAAAGTGCACGTATTAATTGCACGGATCGCGCAGTAATAATCAGCGCGTGCGTATACGTGTATCCTACTTTTACCCAATGGTATATACAGCGCTTCGATGCGATAACGAGAGCCATCGAGAGAGAAAAAAAAGCTCGCGGGCTAGAGATTATTATGCCGAGCTTTTTCAACTAGAGAGAGAAACTGACCGAGTGTATGGCACATTGTAAATTCTATAGTATACATATACGAGTGCAACTCGACCGAACCTAAAATTAGCGTAAAACAACAAAAGCAACGGCTGAGAATTTCGATGTGCGCTGCCTGCGTATAGTACGTACATAATAATGTAATAGAGAAAATGAGAAAAGCTTGTAGGAACGGAGAGGGGGTGCGACACACACACACATAGAGCTACATAGCGTCCGTAAGGGCCCGTAAAAGGCACACCGAGTAAATCACCTTATCTCCCAGGCGCGAGCACATACGTGTGTGTATGTGTGTTGCACGAATTCCCACTAGCATATACGCGCCGTCAAGAGAGAGAGAGAAAGAGAAAGAGACTATATACATATATAGGTAGTGCCACCCGTTTCAATTAGCCTGCGGCTGCGGCGCGATGTTGTTGTGTAGCCCTGTGTGCGTAGCCTCTGCGCACGAAAGATTTAAGACTCCCTTTGGCCGCTTACTTTATCGCGCTTGTACGTGTGTGTATGTGTGGGGGAGATGCCAATACTTACATCTATAAGCGCGCGAGCAATGTCAGGTTTAGAGCGCCGAGCCTATGAAGCCTGTATACGTGCGCTATAAGCTATATTATATATTATATACGGGGTTATCTCGCGCTCACCGTTGTTGTTGCTGTTGTTGTTGTTGTTGTGGTTTTCCTGAGTCTAACATAATAGGAGCTTATAAGAGAGTACTATTGCGTACTATACAGAGGCTCGTGAAACTCGTGACTACATATTTTTCTCTCCCCGTTACGATTCGTTCTTTTTCCCTTTTTTTTTTCATTCGTCGTTTCCTTTTGCGCAGTACTCCGGAGCATGCACTCCAGCGCGTAACATATTTCGCCGACGAGCGAGAGAGAGAGCATTTGTGGGTCATAGCCGTCGTCGTCGTCGCACATATATCACTACGAGTTCTCTAGTGCTCGTATGTATGTACATAGGCTTCCTCTCGATCTAATGTAATGCGTAACAAAAACCATTCCGCAGCTCTGTGGACAGCAGCGTTATATTGGTCGATATTACGGACACAATATGGACCACATTGGAGTATTGTATTAGACATACGTGCAGTTCATGCACCGGCCAGTCGGCGGCTGCTAACGCGTAGCACACACACACACTCACACACAAAAGGCAGCTACACATAACGACGACGATTAAACCAAGGAGAGAGAAAAGACAATGAGAAAGAGGTCGAACCCCGAGTCATATACGTACAGTGGATAGAGATAGATATGCATTGTGCTGCGCAAGACCTCCGTATATATAATACGAGAACGAATAATTCGGACATTGTGTACATCCCATCCATCATACTATCATCGCGTCCGAGCTCGAAACGTTTATATTAGAAAATGCCTCGCCGCGATCACCGGCGCGCTGCAGCTCGAGCACGAAGGGACGAAGCGATGCTGCGCATGACACACAGAGAGTCCAGCGCCTAGCTGAGTCGCCGTCGTCGTCGTCGTCGTCGTCTATCCTAGCGCAAAATCTCTCTCTCTCTCTCTATAAACTCTATAGCTAGCCTCTCCAATTCTCTCTCAGCCCGCAAGATATTCTCATGCACTTAAGAAGATCAGCTTAGCTTGGCTTATATACTCTCTCCTCTATTTCTCTCTCGTGTGCCCCGGCCAAGAGAGTCGTGAATCGCTTCTATGATCTTTGTCTATGGGATAGAGTTTGTGTGTGTGTTTATACACGCGGAGAGGCAAAAGGGCTGCCTGTATATAACATCATCCACGCTATATGGAGGCGGATAGGAGAGAGAGAGGGAGAACTAGTCACGCTTTCGCTAAGCGGCGTCATCCTAGTCTTAGTCTTGGTCGTCGGCAAAGTTGAAAAACGCTCGCCGTTCGTTAGGAGGTGCATTTCCCACACATTATACGTCGAGATCCAAGCCGCGAGAGGCTTTGTCGCTCTCGGGCTCCGTACGTTCTTTTTTTCGTTTATTTATTTTTCATTATTATAATCTCGATCCTCGCTATATACATAGGCAGATTTCACATCGAGAAGTGGGCGATTTAATTGCCGAGATTCGTGCCCCGCCTTCCCCC